TCCTTCCATCCCAGGTGCCGCTGTCTGTCTCCTAGTGCCTCCTTCCATCCCAGGTGCCGCTGTCTGTCTCCTAGTGCCTCCTTCCATCCCAGGTGCCGCTGTCTGTCTCCTAGTGCCTCCTTCCATCCCAGGTGCCGCTGTCTGTCTCCTAGTGCTTCCTTCCATCCCAGGTGCCGCTGTCTGTCTCATAGTGCCTCCTTCCATCCCAGGTGCCGCTGTCTGTCTCCTAGTGCCTCCTTCCATCCCAGGTGCCTCTGTCTGTCTCCTAGTGCCTCATGCCTCCCTCCATTGGCTCACCATGCCATCGGAGCAGTTTGATCTGGGGCTGGAGGCATCCGAGTCCCCGCTGTAGGAGTCCAGCTGGGGGTAGTAGGGTTCTTCTTGCTCCCGTAGCAGGCTCTGCAGGCTCTCGATGTATCTGATGGCATTGCGCAGGATCTCCACCTTGGGAAGCCTCTGGTTGGGGTTGGCGCTGGTGCATCTTTTGAGGGTCTCGAATGCATCGTTGACTTTGCCGAGTCGTCTCCTCTCCCGCATTGTGGCCGCTTTCCTGCGGTCGGCGTTGGTGGTCTTCCTCTTGCAGGCTTTACATGCCCAGAGGAGACATCTGCCCGCCTGGTGGTGCCCACTGGGGGCCCGCACATGCTCCTCCTCGGGGTGCGGGCCATCCTCGGGCTTCAGCAGCGTAACATGCACGAGCCGGGGGTCCAGATCTTCGAAAAAGCTCATATCGGGGGAATTAAAGCAAGGGTCATCGTACAGATCGTACAAATCTGCCACTGGGGGGCCAGCCAATAGCTCCATGTCCGCATCTCACCCTGATTATGGCACCTGTCCCTATATAGTAGGGACCCTGTCACCCCGACCAATCCCTGCCTGGCGCCTCCCAGGGGCCACACACCCTCTCATGATTGGGGGAAAGTTTTCTCCCCTCATCACCTCTCCCCCCACCAAACGCTTAACAGCATTACAGAAGATGACAGGAGCTAACTGTCCACCATGGGGTTACTTCCTGCACTCTACAGAGGAGTGGGGTATCTACTGCACTCTACAGAGGAGTGGGGTATCTACTGCACTCTACAGAGGAGTGGGGTATCTCCTGCACTCTACAAAGGAGTGGGGTATCTCCTGCACTCTGGAGTGGGGTATTTCCTGCACTCTACAGAGGAGTAGGGTATCTACTGGACTATACAGAGGAGTGAATGGGGAATCTACTGCAGCGTACTGTAGAGTGCAATAGATACCCCAGTAGATACCCCTGTCTTTACACAGAGTCCTCCGGATGCTTCAGCCTATTATAACAGTTCCAGTACTATAGTATGTGGAGGGCACTTCCTCTGCAGAGGGTGTAGTACTGTAGTATGAGGAGGGCTGCTTCCTCTGCAGAGGGTGTAGTACTATAGTATGTGGAGGGCACTTCCTCTGCAGAGGGTGTAGTACTGTAGTATGAGGAGGGCTGCTTCCTCTGCAGAGGGTGTAGTACTATAGTATGTGGAGGGCACTTCCTCTGCAGAGGGTGTAGTACTGTAGTATGGGGAGGGCTGCTTCCTCTGCAGAGGGTGTAGTACTGTAGTATGAGGAGGGCTGCTTCCTCTGCAGAGGGTGTAGTACTGTAGTATGAGGAGGGCTGCTTCCTCTGCAGAGGGTGTAGTACTGTAGTATGAGGAGGGCTGCTTCCTCTGCAGAGGGTGTAGTACTGTAGTATGAGGAGGGCTGCTTCCTCTGCAGAGGGTGTAGTACTGTAGTATGAGGAGGGCTGCTTCCTCTGCAGAGGGTGTAGTACTGTAGTATGAGGAGGGCTGCTTCCTCTGCAGAGGGTGTAGTACTGTAGTATGAGGAGGGCTGCTTCCTCTGCAGAGGGTGTAGTACTGTAGTATGAGGAGGGCTGCTTCCTCTGCAGAGGGTGTAGTACTGTAGTATGAGGAGGGCTGCTTCCTCTGCAGAGGGTGTAGTACTGTAGTATGGGGAGGGCTGCTTCCTCTGCAGAGGGTGTAGTACTGTAGTATGGGGAGGGCTGCTTCCTCTGCAGAGGGTGTAGTACTGTAGTATGGGGAGGGCTGCTTCCTCTGCAGAGGGTGTAGTACTGTAGTATGGGGAGGGCTGCTTCCTCTGCAGAGGGTGTAGTACTGTAGTATGGGGAGGGCTGCTTCCTCTGCAGAGGGTGTAGTACTGTAGTATGGGGAGGGCTGCTTCCTCTGCAGAGGGTGTAGTACTGTAGTATGGGGAGGGCTGCTTCCTCTGCAGAGGGTGTAGTACTGTAGTATGAGGAGGGCTGCTTCCTCTGCAGAGGGTGTAGTACTGTAGTATGAGGAGGGCTGCTTCCTCTGCAGAGGGTGTAGTACTGTAGTATGGGGAGGGCTGCTTCCTCTGCAGAGGGTGTAGTACTGTAGTATGGGGAGGGCTGCTTCCTCTGCAGAGGGTGTAGTACTGTAGTATGAGGAGGGCTGCTTCCTCTGCAGAGGGTGTAGTACTGTAGTATGAGGAGGGCTGCTTCCTCTGCAGAGGGTGTAGTACTGTAGTATGAGGAGGGCTGCTTCCTCTGCAGAGGGTGTAGTACTGTAGTATGGGGAGGGCTGCTTCCTCTGCAGAGGGTGTAGTACTGTAGTATGGGGAGGGCTGCTTCCTCTGCAGAGGGTGTAGTACTGTAGTATGGGGAGGGCACTTCCTCTGCAGAGGGTGTAGTACTGTAGTATGGGGAGGGCTGCTTCCTCTGCAGAGGGTGTAGTACTGTAGTATGGGGAGGGCTGCTTCCTCTGCAGAGGGTGTAGTACTGTAGTATGAGGAGGGCTGCTTCCTCTGCAGAGGGTGTAGTACTGTAGTATGAGGAGGGCTGCTTCCTCTGCAGAGGGTGTAGTACTGTAGTATGGGGAGGGCTGCTTCCTCTGCAGAGGGTGTAGTACTGTAGTATGGGGAGGGCTGCTTCCTCTGCAGAGGGTGTAGTACTGTAGTATGGGGAGGGCTGCTTCCTCTGCAGAGGGTGTAGTACTGTAGTATGGGGAGGGCTGCTTCCTCTGCAGAGGGTGTAGTACTGTAGTATGGGGAGGGCTGCTTCCTCTGCAGAGGGTGTAGTACTGTAGTATGGGGAGGGCTGCTTCCTCTGCAGAGGGTGTAGTACTGTAGTATGGGGAGGGCTGCTTCCTCTGCAGAGGGTGTAGTACTGTAGTATGGGGAGGGCACTTCCTCTGCAGAGGGTGTAGTACTGTAGTATGGGGAGGGCTGCTTCCTCTGCAGAGGGTGTAGTACTGTAGTATGGGGAGGGCTGCTTCCTCTGCAGAGGGTGTAGTACTGTAGTATGAGGAGGGCTGCTTCCTCTGCAGAGGGTGTAGTACTGTAGTATGAGGAGGGCTGCTTCCTCTGCAGAGGGTGTAGTACTGTAGTATGGGGAGGGCTGCTTCCTCTGCAGAGGGTGTAGTACTGTAGTATGGGGAGGGCTGCTTCCTCTGCAGAGGGTGTAGTACTGTAGTATGGGGAGGGCTGCTTCCTCTGCAGAGGGTGTAGTACTGTAGTATGGGGAGGGCTGCTTCCTCTGCAGAGGGTGTAGTACTGTAGTATGGGGAGGGCTGCTTCCTCTGCAGAGGGTGTAGTACTGTAGTATGGGGAGGGCTGCTTCCTCTGCAGAGGGTGTAGTACTGTAGTATGGGGAGGGCTGCTTCCTCTGCAGAGGGTGTAGTACTGTAGTATGAGGAGGGCTGCTTCCTCTGCAGAGGGTGTAGTACTGTAGTATGAGGAGGGCTGCTTCCTCTGCAGAGGGTGTAGTACTGTAGTATGGGGAGGGCTGCTTCCTCTGCAGAGGGTGTAGTACTGTAGTATGGGGAGGGCTGCTTCCTCTGCAGAGGGTGTAGTACTGTAGTATGAGGAGGGCTGCTTCCTCTGCAGAGGGTGTAGTACTGTAGTATGAGGAGGGCTGCTTCCTCTGCAGAGGGTGTAGTACTGTAGTATGGGGAGGGCTGCTTCCTCTGCAGAGGGTGTAGTACTGTAGTATGGGGAGGGCTGCTTCCTCTGCAGAGGGTGTAGTACTGTAGTATGGGGAGGGCACTTCCTCGGCAGAGGGTGTAGTACTGTAGTATGGGGAGGGCTGCTTCCTCTGCAGAGGGTGTAGTACTGTAGTATGGGGAGGGCTGCTTCCTCTGCAGAGGGTGTAGTACTGTAGTATGGGGAGGGCTGCTTCCTCTGCAGAGGGTGTAGTACTGTAGTATGGGGAGGGCTGCTTCCTCTGCAGAGGGTGTAGTACTGTAGTATGAGGAGGGCTGCTTCCTCTGCAGAGGGTGTAGTACTGTAGTATGAGGAGGGCTGCTTCCTCTGCAGAGGGTGTAGTACTGTAGTATGGGGAGGGCTGCTTCCTCTGCAGAGGGTGTAGTACTGTAGTATGGGGAGGGCTGCTTCCTCTGCAGAGGGTGTAGTACTGTAGTATGGGGAGGGCTGCTTCCTCTGCAGAGGGTGTAGTACTGTAGTATGGGGAGGGCTGCTTCCTCTGCAGAGGGTGTAGTACTGTAGTATGGGGAGGGCTGCTTCCTCTGCAGAGGGTGTAGTACTGTAGTATGGGGAGGGCTGCTTCCTCTGCAGAGGGTGTAGTACTGTAGTATGGGGAGGGCTGCTTCCTCTGCAGAGGGTGTAGTACTGTAGTATGGGGAGGGCTGCTTCCTCTGCAGAGGGTGTAGTACTGTAGTATGGGGAGGGCTGCTTCCTCTGCAGAGGGTGTAGTACTGTAGTATGAGGAGGGCTGCTTCCTCTGCAGAGGGTGTAGTACTGTAGTATGGGGAGGGGCGCTTCCTCTGCAGAGGGTGTAGTACTGTAGTATGAGGAGGGCTGCTTCCTCTGCAGAGGGTGTAGTACTGTAGTATGGGGAGGGCTGCTTCCTCTGCAGAGGGTGTAGTACTGTAGTATGGGGAGGGCTGCTTCCTCTGCAGAGGGTGTAGTACTGTAGTATGAGGAGGGCTGCTTCCTCTGCAGAGGGTGTAGTACTGTAGTATGTGGAGGGCTGCTTCCTCTGCAGAGGGTGTAGTACTGTAGTATGAGGAGGGCTGCTTCCTCTGCAGATGGTGTAGTACTGTAGTATGTGGAGGGCACTTCCTCTGCAGAGGGTGTAGTACTATAGTATGTGGAGGGCAATTCCTCTGCAGAGGGTGTAAGGAGGGCTGCTTCCTCTGCAGAGGGTGTAGTACTGTAGTATGTGGAGGGCTGCTTCCTCTGCAGAGGGTGTAGTACTGTAGTATGGGGAGGGCTGCTTCCTCTGCAGATGGTGTAGTACTGTAGTATGTGGAGGGCACTTCCTCTGCAGAGGGTGTAGTACTATAGTATGTGGAGGGCAATTCCTCTGCAGAGGGTGTAGTACTATAGTATGAGGAGGGCTGCTTCCTCTGCAGA